CCCGGGCTGCTCGGAGCGCGACTCCCCGCGGCGCTGCCCGGGCCCCGAGGAGCCCTGCCCCGCGGCCCGGCGCGGCCCTGGGGCGCGGACACGCCTGCACCGGAGGAACCTGTCGCTGCCTCGGGGAGTTTGGAGCCGTGGAGATCAGGCGCTGTCTCCGCACAGCTCTGTAAAGTACCGAGACATGCAGCGAAAGGGAGAAGCGGCACCCCGCTCTGTTCTCCCGTGCATTTTTGGAGGTTTTGTTGGGTTTTTTTGCAGTGAACATTTTAAGCCATAAGGAGATTTTGCAAATGTGCATCCAGGCGGTTGCCTTTGTATTTGCTGTCCGTTGTGCCACAGGAAATTCCCCTTTGCCCCCAGGAAAAAAGAAAAGAAAAGCTTATTTCTGTCACTTTGAAACAGCTCGGCGCCGTATTGCTCTGATAATGCTCAGGTCTCCGGGTAGGGCTCTGTTACACCCTAAAGATGAACGCTGTCATTCCTGATGCGCGTGCGGAAGAAATGCAATGAAAATGCCCAGGGAAGCGCCATCAAAGCACTAATTACTGTTGGATTTCTAGATAACAGTTAAATGTGAACAGGAACAATATCCTCCATTAGTGTCTTGTCTTGCACGTCTCCTATCTCAGATTGTTCACAGCGTTTCTCCCTCCCATCCTCTCCCTCTTTTTCTGAGGATTTTTCTCTGTAATACAAAGGCTTGTGATGGCCAAACAGCTCTCCCCTCTGTCCCTCTGCAAGTTGGGAAACAGGTTGGATCCACCTCTTTTGTGATTTTAAGGGAGATGTATGCATTTCAGCACTATTAATGCTATTGCCACTGAAGGGAGTTCTAAGAAGGGCCACAATTCTCCAGTGTTACAGGTACTGTCTCTGAGTCTCTGCATCAGTACAAGTTGTCTGTGTAGAAACGAGTTTGTCTGAAACTGCCTTGAAGTCTGTGATGTTTTCCATTGATTTTGGCAACCTTTGGGTTGGTCCCCCAAGGCTGTTGTTGCATGCAGCTTGTGTAGATGCTCAGGCGTGCTAATGGGATATGTCTCTTTTCCACCGACAACCCCCTGTGTTTGTAGCTTGAATTCATAAGCATCCTTCTGGAAAGAACTGAATTAGTCATCTGATCCTCACAGATGAACTGTGTGGAAGTCTTCCACGGAGAAGATTATAGGTCATGGAAATTCCAGCTTCTCCCTTAAAAGCAGTGTTTCCTCCCTCCCACCCCCGTGCCTAGCATGCTCTAAAAATGGTTAATTTTTTAAAGTGAAGACAGTGATGCAATTACACTGTGAGGCCTCTCACAGACGGCTGCTTCTGCCAGACATGGTGAAATGCTAGCACTTGCTTTATGCGTTGATGAGCATGGTTCTTTAAGGAGCTATAACCCAGAGAGGCAGCAGAGTTAACGGATGCCTTTGCCAGACTGCTGTTTAGCTGTCATTAGTCTCTCTTCTAGCCTGCTCTGTTTTCAGTATGCCACCATACTTTATTCTGTATAATTGGAAGTGCCCCATCTCTAGGTCCTTGCACGTGTCTGTCTCAGTTGGCGGCTGCTAAGTTACTTCTCCTTCCCCAGCAAAAGTTGCAGGTTTCATGCTTGGCCCCAGATTTTCAACTGCAATCCCTTCCTGTCTGGTAGAACGTTCTTGTTAACATCTCAGAAAGTGGTGGGAGCCACAAAGAGCCTTTCCCTGCCTTGGTGTCTTGCCCAGTGATCGATGAACCCATTAGAAAGTGAAAAATGTAGAGTTCTCAGTGTTATAAAAAGCACATGCCCTCGGGATGCTGTTGTGTAACATGGTGGTGAGCAAAGCTCCGCAATGTGGCTGAAGATGTCATGAGGAGAGCTCATGTGGCAACAGCCAATTGCAAACCCATTGCTCTCCCTCCAGTTGAGAACAGATTCCCCACTGAGAGGATTCATAATTAACAGATATTACTTGATTTTGCTCAAGACATTTCACAAAATCTGGGAACTGACAAGCTGGCTGCATTTACAGGAACCTCAAAGCAGCCTCTCTTCAAAGCCAGCAAGTTTTGGGATATTAAACTGAGACTTCAGAAAGGAAGTTTAGAGAAGGGGGGGAAGATACTTGTCCATAAGTATTGCTATACCGGGGTCCCTTGTGTTATCACTGCAGCGCTAAGAAAATCAGCTGTCTTTGCCCAGAGCCTGAACCATTGTGTTGCATGGCAGCATTTACTCTAGGTGCCATCACACCCTTGTCTTTCAGCCTTCGTGGTGTTTTTGCCTCTGGTCTGTATTTCTGAGAGTCGGGTTGGAAAACTTCCCTGTATGGCCTTAAGGCAAGGCAGCAGAGGGATTCTTCAAAAAATACCTAGCTGACTGAAACCTTTCAGGGAACATCTAAATTAAGATGGACTAAGCCAGTGGTTCTCAACCTTTTTAGATTTGAAGTGACCGTCTGGATATGCTGCCTCTTAGGTTCACTCATTTTTTGACTCCTGAAAAACAATTGAGCAGTTTTTCTGTTGCAAAGAACTCAGAAAGACCACGGCAGCTCAGAATGTTTTTAACACTCTGGATTCCTATTTGAAATTGCTGAGTTTATCTTGTGAACCATACACACCTATCAGTGCTAGCATTTCATGCTACCCCTGTGTACCTTTGAAAGGATCTCAAGGCAATCCCGGGCTGAGAATCACTGGACTAAACCATAGGGTCACACAAAGTTTAGTAACAAGAACAACTGGAAAAAATATGAGGGGATTTAAGGGTTGTTTAATTCATATTTGATGTTCCTGTAGGTTGGTGGCAGAGCTTAAAATGGAACAATGCAGATCAATAAAAAAATTTTTTTTTTTCAAAGACACCAGCTATCCACAGGGAAAGTTTAATTCCCAAAACTGAGCACCCACATAACGCCCCATCCCATCACATCTGCACAGTGAGCTATGTGGGACTTGGGATTTTTTATATCCTTCCTTAAGTGACCGTGCTTACAGCATATGGGAACAACAGAAGTTTGCAGAGAGAACAAATCGTGTTCTTTCAGTCTCCATTTGTGAACACACAGACACCTACAATTTGTAAGAGCAAACCTTTGTATTTGAACTTAAAAAAAAATCTAGTTTTGGATTTTGTGCATTTAAATTTTATTTGCATGGGTGGCTTTTATGGATACAAATGCTGACACACACAGAACATTTTAAAAGATGTACAGAGGTGCTTGCAGCCAGGGGCAAACGTACAAACAGAGACCAGGTAGACATGCGCCTAAGGCTATTTCTGTAGACTTTAATATTTGCATTAACAATTTCTGCAGTTTGTAGGGTAGGGTAGGTAAAGGACCTTAAACAGATGGAAGAAGCTGGACATGCAATTGGCATTTTATTTTTACTATTCTTTACGGTTAAAAAAATTATTGTGTTTAGGCTTTAATTAGTCAGCTATTATATTTATATTGGAGAGACAGCGTTTCAGAAAACAGGAATACAGTATGTCCCATGGAAAATTCTGACAGCTAGAATCTCTTGTGTCCTGAGTTAATATGAAGGGTCAACATTTTGAATCTTTTCAAACAGGAATTCTGAAATCCTTTGATGTAGAAATGTGAAAACCTTTTCTGATAATGTCAACATGTAACAGTATAATATTCTATATTAATTATAATATTCTATATTAATATATACGATGTAATAATACCCTATATTATATAGAATGATATAGAACTTAGATTAAATGAAATAAAGACAAATACATTTTGAGTTTTTTCCTCTGAATACCTTGTTGAAATCAACACCTTCCCTCAAAACACTTGGATTTTGACTAAATTACATTTTATGGTTTGAAAACTGCACTGTCAAAAAATTTTAGCAAGCTCTAATTAGAAATTCAGGTGTGATGCTGCAAAATGTGGTAATGGGAGAATGAACAAACCAATGAAGTTACAAGAGCTTATCTAGCTTCAGTGGCCAATGAACACTTTTGGACTTGGAAAATGCACCGTTCCCTTCAGTCAAGGTGCTGCATACACCTTTGTTAGATCTTTTTACTGCTCTTCCAACAAAACTGTGGAAGATCAGGCTGTTGAACATTAAAAAAGAGGCTTTTGAAAATCTTGTCAAGCCTTTCTTGCCAATTGTATGGAACCAAAAGTACCCTACAAACCCATAGTTTTTAGTTCTTTTTAAATTTCACATTTGAAAATGTAAACTGATATTCATTCATTGCCACCAAAGAAGTATACGGCCATGATTGTTAACTGGGCAACATTTCTTAAGATCCCTGTACAGAGACCATATCTCTTTGGTTCATCTGCACTATGTGTTGCCTACAGGTCAAACCAGCACCTGCTCCACTGATCATGGTCAGCGAGACCTTAAACTACTGGGATCCTGATTTTGAGGACGATGTCATCAACATTAACGTCGGGGGTCTGAGAAGAAGGCTCAGCTCTAGCGCTCTCTCCAAGTTTCCTGACACCCGCCTGGGGCGCTTGCTGTCCTGCGACTCAGAAGAGTCCATCCTGCAGCTCTGCGATGACTATGACGTGAGTGCCAGGGAGTTTTACTTTGATAGGAACCCAGGTTTCTTCCTGTATGTGCTTCACTTTTACCAGACTGGGAAGCTGCATGTCATGGAGGAGCTTTGCGTCTTCTCTTTCTGCCAAGAAATAGAGTACTGGGGCATCAATGAGTTCTTCCTGGACTCATGCTGCAGCTACCGCTACCACGAGCGCAAGCTAGAGAGCCGGCACCACAACTGGGATGAGGAGAGTGAGGTCAGCAGTGTGGACACCTCCCCAGATGAGATATCGGATATCAATCTTGACTTGCTCCGCTACAGCACGTTGCGCTGTGGCAACTTGCGGAAGCGCCTTTGGCTTACCATGGAGAACCCGGGCTACTCCATTCCCAGCAAACTCTTCAGCTTTGTGTCCATCAGCGTGGTGCTTGTCTCCATAGCTACCATGTGCATCCACAGCATGCCAGAGTACCAGGTGGTGGATGAGAATGGTACTGTGCTGGATGCCCCCATCCTGCACAACCTGGAGTATTTCTGCATCTCCTGGTTCACCTTTGAAGTGTCTTCTCGCCTGCTGCTGTCTCCCAACCCACGAAAATTCTTCAAGCACCCTCTGAACCTGATTGACATTGTCTCTGTCCTGCCTTTCTACTTTACCCTTCTGGTGGACGTGACTCTGGGCAGTGACTCAGAGCTGGGGAACCTGGGCAAGGTGGTGCAGGTGTTCCGTCTCATGAGGATATTCCGGGTTCTCAAGCTGGCACGGCATTCAACTGGGCTGAGATCGCTAGGGGCCACCTTGAAGGTATAGTCTTCTCTTACCTCCTGCTCTATTGCTTTGCTATCTAAGCATAGAAGACATGTGAGCTGGGAATGAGCTGTAGCTAGTAGAAGTATCCATTCCCATGGGGAGCTCATGGAAATTGGAAGGTTGCATGGGGGGTAAGTCCTATATTGGTGAATGCTAGAAAAGTTGCATGTTAGTTACTGTGTGGTCCCTGTGTAAATGTCTCTCTCTCTTTCATGCACACACACACACACACACACTGTGGAAGGTATACACTGGGTCATTTTGCCAGTGCAGTGGTGATGGAGATGGAAAGTGCTGGTGTAATATCCCCAATGATGCAAATAGTCCCTACAGGATCATCCTGCAGAGTTCCAGCCACTGCTTCACTAATTCATGTTCTGCTGGCTGTAACAGAGTCCAGGCTAGCCAGAAGCCACTAGTGTCCAAACACTGCAGCACATGCTGTGAAGTAAATGTGCCTAACAATGAACGTCTTCAGATTCACTCTACTTCTGTCTCTAGCATGTCTGAGAAGAGGTCACTTTAGGAGCCTGTTGCTGGCTGGCCCACGGCCAACATGCAAGCACTAGTGTCCATCCATGTAGAGATCTGCAAATTCAGGGCCAGCTGAACTCAGCCTTTTGCAGTGCCGTATCTTATGCCTGGGTGATCCCAAAGACTGACTGATATGGGCACTGTTTAATGTGGCAAGCGAAGACGATGGGAATAAAGGTTGACCAAATATAAACAGGGCCTGTGACAACAATGGTGTGTCCGGATCAACATGGAAGATCTACCTCTGGCTTGAGAGGCTTCAGGGCAGCGCAAAGGTACTGTATGCAGGGCAGAGGGAGGAGCCCACAAAGCCTGACAACCCATTCTGAGCAGGCCAGAGGGAGGAAGAGCCAGACTGGGAGATGCTTGAGATACTGGCAGGCTCTCTCTGAGGGGACCCAGGATTTGGAAACAGCAGAGATATCAGTGGCCAAGAAAATCTGGCAGCAAGAGGAAGAATCTGTGGAGGAAGGACCTTGCCCTCTACAGCAGGTGAGCAGCTCAGCAATATGAAATAAGATGACGGGGGCTGGGGGAGAATGGCCAGGGTCATCCTGACTGCTATCCTTCATGTCTGTATTAGACCAAGCAGCCTCATGAGGTGGACTTCTCCACCACCACCTAAGGGGTAGCTGCTGAGCTGTCCCTAGCTCAGCCAGTTCATGGCATCCCAGGGCTGGATGGGAACTTGAGGGTCATGTAATCTAGTATATGCAGTCCTCTGTGACTCACCCTCCAAAAGGCCCCCTGACTGGTACTCTTGAGCACTTCCATACCAAATACAGTTAATAATGGCAGTTATGTCAAAAGTCTGTGCTTGGAGATTTTTATTGTAATAAAGTTTCTATTGGGCACTGTAGCCAAAGCCTTTTCATTGCATCTCATCTTTTGGCTTGCATGCCAAAAGGTACCAAAAGACAGGTACCTAGCACCCAGGTACCTTATCTCTGCTCTTGTCTCTCCCCGTAGTAACATTCCATTGTCCTTCTGGTTTAATGAATCGAGAAACTTTCCTGATCCTATTTTATGAGTAAGACAATGTACAGCTGAACTGGAAGAATACTTTTGCTGCCCACTCCACCTCCTATCACTTAATGGAAACACCAATTATCCTCAGACCCATATTTCTCCCCAAGTCCCTGGAATTATATAAAAACTATCCCAAAACAAGTACTTGAACATTGTAGCCACATTATGGAAATCTGCATATTTCCTTCCACCCCCACAGAAGTTCTCACCACCTCTCCACACATGGAGCTGATTCCCCTCTGCAGAGAGTTGGTTTCAATGGTCCAGCTTCTAATATTGATTGTATAAAATGGCTATCCCCAAGATCATGTCACCCCCACCTGGCATAAAATCCATCCCCCTAACTACCCTTATTCTTCTGAACGTTTGTGAATTCCAGCATCCTACCTTTCATTTGCACAGTTGTGCCTAGCGTGGGCAGAACCTTTGCCATCTTGAACCTTCCTTTCAAGAAGGCATTAGAAAGCAGAACAAAGCTGAGGCTGTACAGTGTACAGCTGAGGCTGTGGTCCACAATGTGGTACAGCTGAGGCTGTACAGTGCCTAACACAATGTGGTCCACACTCATGTCTGGGTCTCTTTGCTACTGCTGTACAAACAGTTGCTATACAAGGGACAAATGGCTGTTAACGCTCTCCATTTCTTATTTTTCAGTGTAGTGGCCATGTCAGCACTTTGGGTGACCTGGAGGCTGCTGTGGGACACTATGAATAGCCCAAAGTTGGCATGGGGACAGGAAGACTGGGCTGGCAGCAGTGGAGTGGCTGACAAGCCTGAGGAACTAGGTACAGCAATTCTCAGACACGCAGGGAGACAAGGATAGTTGGTGCAAGAGACCTGTACCTTCATCCTCCATGGCACTTGGCAGCAAAGGCTCAAGAGGACACCAACTTGGCCAGCATTGAAATAGCCTGAAAACCTCCCAAACTCTTAAGAGAGGAGGAAACACTCCCAGGATCAAAGACCTCATGAAAACATGAACCAGAGAGTTCCTATTTCAAAAGAAAATCCTCTTAAATACCTGCACTCTGCTTCTTCATGAAAACCTATCTCGACAACCAGCAAGTCCCTTAGGAATAAGGCAAAGGCTGGATCTGTTACTTTTCTTGGCTACAAAAGTTAAATAAAACTGTCCATGTGGAAAGGCTCCTTGAACTCATTCTGTGTCCCATTTACATGTGAATAACTTGCTGCACCAGAGTGGGGACTGAGTGATTTGCATGTTGTTAGGCAGTAAGTGAGACTAGGAGAACCAGGAGTTTCCTGGGCTTTGACTCAGGCTGAGCCAGTGATTCACCGAGTGATGCTGAGCAAAGCACTAGGCTCCATGCAGATCTGAGTTGTCTGACTGTAAAATCTCACTAAAACCCCTGACCTGCTGCATCAGATTTAAGTTCCAATTTACTGGGCACATAAATTACAAAATATTGTTGATCATAATTTACTTCCTCCTGCAACAGCATAACACATTGGCAGATGAAAAAAAGCCCATTTACATGGTCAGGAAGTGGGGAGATGATGTCTCTGGCAAGTGGAGTGATTGATGTTAATGCTAGAGTGATATGAGTAGAAAGATTTCTGCTGTTCTGTCTCTTCTAGAGAAATTATGGGTGTTCTTCAGATCACTCAAGGCCTGAGCCAAAGCCCATTTAAATCAATGACTCTTCTCCACCATCCTGACAGAGTCTCTTCAAGAGACCAACTGTGTATATGAAGGGGGCCTGGCTTCAAGCCAAATCCAGGAACACTTCCCTCCTCACAGTCTCCTCTTAGCTGTTGTACTTTATTCCCTTCCTCCTGCATCTTTTTTTTTTTATTGGCTCTTTCTGAATAAATGGCCCTAGTACTCCCTGCTGCTGAGAGGCTGTCTGGGGGAAATTTACTCCTCCAGTGCTCTGCCAGTGAAACAACAGGATTGCAAACATCAGAGGCACCTTCTCTGCTCTCTCAATCCCTGCCGAGATCTGATATCAATTATGGAACTGTGCAGTTAGGTATCAAACTCCCATTGAAATTTAATGGGAATTAGGCACTAAGTGAATTAAGCACTTCTCCACATTTTTAGGTGTCTAAATACTTGAGCAAGTCATGCAGGGCCAGCTCTACAGGAGCTGCACAGAACCGAAGACTCCTGAATCTCAGCCCAGGGCGCCACCCAGCATCACACTTTTAATTTGCACTGTTGTACCTGCCAGGGACTGACTGGTGGCACATGGGCACAACAAACGGCCAGGGAGCAATGTCCAGTCTTCATGTTGAAGTCCCCTTTGTTGGTTCTCTCATATCCTTGCCTGAATGTCCCAGACCTGGGGCTGAAATCCAAAATCCCCAATTCATTTAATTCAGTAAAGGAAAATTGTTTTGGATGCTGCTTCGGAAAAGCTCCCTGACCTGTGTAAAGCCTAATTACATACAAAGTCCTTTGGGTTTAAGGCTTCTATTTACTCAGACACTTAACACAGCCCTAGTAGCTGCCTAGCAGGGAGTCTTCTAAAGGAGTTATTGGGCCCATTATATTGCAGCAGTATCAATCCAAGCCAACATGGGGTCTCCTGCAAACTCATTTTCTGAGAGACTGTGCCCTCCTGTGGGCAGATGATGTTGATGTGCTCTTGTGGATATACTCAGATTAGATGGATACTGATGTGCTCTTGTGGATATACTCATAAGCAATGCACTTTGAAAACAGGTAACTGCAGAAGGGGAGCTGCCAGTTTCCCAGCATTAACAGCAGTCAGATTTCTTTATTCACGCCACTTTCTTGCGTGCCAGCCCCTCGCCTCTATTTGCAAAACTGAAATGCTTAACCTATCAGAATCCCTTGACCTTGTACCCTTTCTCTTTTTATTCTCCAGCACATTGCAGGACCTAAGGGACTGTCTTTAAAAATGTATAGTACGATCCTGTTCTCTATGTTGCTCCCAAGCTGGGATCTTTGCTCCTTGCCCAGAGCAAGTCTTTTTTAACCCATTGATAAAGCCTTGAAAATAAGAGGCTGCATTGCAACAGCTGAGCTGTCTTCCCCTCAGGATTTCTCTAGGCATTCACAGCTACAGGTGATGGTGGAGGAGATTACACTGTTCCTCCTTGGTATTATTGACAGGAATTGAGCAGCTTTGTGACAGCAGTTTATAGCAAAATCAGGCTTGTTCCCTGCTATAGAATCTGCCTCATCTTGATTGTGCAAGTTCTTTCTTCACCACTTTGCTGTTCTCTTTTCATCTATATTGCTAGTATTAGTTAACAACTGAATAAAACTAGCCCAGAAAAATGTCCTCTGGCTGCTAGAAGCCTGAAAATCAGAATTCTGACTCCCTTTCTTCAAGAGATGAACAGCATTTTGGCAGGAACCAGATCACTGCACAAAAGCATCTAAGAGAACTCATCTGTGATGCAGAGAAAACTACTGGACTGTAACAGGTGTTCCCAGG